CAGATGGGACCATGTTCAGGAAGATTTGTATGTCAGCAGTAATGGGCTGTATTAAAAAGAAGATTCCTTAAGATGTCATAAAAGTGATGGGGCTGTGTCACAGGTCGTGGGCTGCCGGCCCACACACTGGCACATCAATCCTAGGAGGCTTCAAAAACAGATGCCACCTAGCCACCAGGAGTTTTATGCTTTCTGTTTGAACACACAGCTACAATTAAAGGGGAGAGTTGTATATTAGGCTGTTTTGGTCCAGCTGATGCCAGTGGCCTTCGATCGACACGGTGGGTTGCAACCTTTTTGTGCTTTTCGTGATTTCTGATTTACTGAATGTCATTGCATTTCATCTTGGGGTGCAAAATGTATACGTCCAGGTTTATTAGAATTATTAACATATCAACCAAATACTATAAGTATGGCTGAATAGCCAAATAAAGTTGAGGGTTGGGTGAAAACGCTACCCAGCATTGTCAAAAACAAAGTTTGTGTTCCCTTGATTACATTGAATAGTAGCCATTATATTTGAAAGGAGCACTTTTACTTTTACTTTATATGAAAATGTTTGTTGACCTTTAATATTATCATTTCTCTCCTTAGGTGATATGAGGAAGGTTAGCTCCTATGACTTTCTGAAATCCATTTTGGGCTAAGGTACAATAATCCAATTCAGCATAATTGTTAAAATTTGAAATGGATTCCAAATAATATTTAAAGACTGACAGAAATCTCCTGCCATATATTTTGGTTTATCAACAGATACCCATGATTTATGGAAAGCTGTTAACTCTCTTCTTTGTGAACATTCAGTCTTGACAGTGACAGTGGTGTGTGTAATATCACTGGCTGCCAGTGGGGTTACAATCATGTTTTCCTCTCCTGTACTCCCCAGGTTTTTGTTAGCGAGGCATCTCGGCTGTTGACAGCTAATGGAATTGCTCTTCACCTCTTGTGCGTATGATCCCATGGAGATAAAGCAGGAGATAAATGTGGAATCTGTGCTGTCAGTTGTGAGGCTGTGATGCTTCGGAAGCCATCATTCATTTGCAGAAGTGTGTGAACAGTAGGAGCGAATCCTCTGACGTTAGACCTTGTCTACCTGTCTGAGCCTCTGTGTGGCAGCTGACGAATGTTGATTCTGTATTAACCACAATGCTGCAGCGCTGTGCAAATAATGTTCTTTCAGATGACAAGCCTCATCCCCTTAATGGCTAAAACTATACAATCCTCCCTACCTGTGCAGTTTTACAACTTGGAATAGTAAAGGCGGGGGTGGGGTAAACGGTCTCACACAATACAGTAGTCTCTTTATTTGGCAGTGCCTGGGAAGGCCGAGGCCTTTCCCTGCCCAAGTCGACGACCTAAGCAACAGCTGGTGTTCACAACAACATTTCCTATTTCTGCCTAAGGTGGATCATGTAACTCTCACTTTATCACCCTTAGAGGCCAAGTGAAGGACAAAGCCAGCACGCCTACAGACAAAACTAATGTTTTGATACAAGCCTCTTTGGAGATTGACAGGAGGACCCATGGTGCTTTTAATACCCATCTTGTTATAACATATCCACATCTTGCCTATACCACCAGCTTCCAAAGCTATTGGGTAGGAACTAAAGATCTTTTCTTTTGACTAATATGTATTAGTAATCTGTGGTCCCTTATGGAAATTTTCTTTCTCTCTAATTAGCACAGTTTTAGCTATGACGATACAGTATCTGCTTACTGAGCCAAAGAAAGTGAGGGCATGCATCTTAGATAATTAGTCAGAGGCTCGGTAGTAACAAAAGCCTTACCTTCACTGTGGCTTGAAAATGAAAACGGTTCGCTTTCTGCTGTGTAGTTACTTAACTTCATTTAGGTTTTTTGAACACCAGGAACTCCAATTCAAGTGCTTTTAAAAATACTCCATCAGACTAAAATTGGTAAATTTGGCATTGATATATGAGAGAGCAGTTTGTTGCTTCATTAGGTATTATATTTTGTGGTTCTATTACACTTTGACTGGGAATATGTCACATACTGCAGTGTATTCCCTAATTTTTTTTTTACTGCAAGTAATGCTTATTTTGATTAGCAAGTAATCTTTTACTTATTCAATGAATCAGCTACTTCTGCAGACTATAAAGCCTTGAGAAATGTCCATACAAGTACTAAAAGCCCAAACTGACATCTTTAAATTGCTTGTTTTGTTGAACCAACTGTCAAAAGTTCAAAGATATTCCATTAAAATATACGAGATGATGATATAAAGCAGTAAGAAGCAGAAAATCCTCCCAATTGAGAAGCTGGAACAAGCAATCTTTAGGAATTTTTGCCCAACAAATAAGATTAATAATTGATAAAACACAACAGGGTCAATTCAGTGGCTGTTCTGCAGCTTTCAATCATATCACAACAGATGAAGTTGCCTAGGTGTTAATTATTTATAGTTTACTTTGATTTACTGTAGTTGTTGTTTGTATTTTATTACTTACTCCCACTTCAGAAATAGGAAGTAGTAAATTACTATTTTCCCCCAAAATCTTTCTAAATAAAGTGACATTATGTTATATAAACATGTTATAAAAGGTCAGACCAGCACCGTACACACCTCCTCTGATTCACCCCTGGTGTTCATGTCCCATTGTTGCACCAGTTAACTCAGATCCTTGGGTCCTGTTTGTCCCTCTGATCCATTATTGGCTACCAGCCTGGAGCCTCAGATGCACAGGCAACCTGCACTGACCTGATAACATTTATAGTTGTAATGGATTTTTTTTATGCCTGTCATTAACTTGCTGAGAGATTGGAGAAAGAAATTGCTTGTACCTTTTTTCTGTGGTATTTCATCTTTATAGCATTATGTTCAGATATGTCATCTTCCATCATCTCTTTTTAAGGCCTCGGTGTCACTAGTTTTGTTTTAAATGTGCAGGTCTTTTGTGCAGGACCCCTCTAGTATCCAGAACTTGTAATGAATATTTGATGATGTTGAGTAAAAGCTGTGAAAGATTTAATTTCTGTCCAATAATTGGCTCTGTCTCTGCCAGACTGTTAGGGGTGATTTAGCAAATGGCTTGTTTAATGTAGACTGTTTATATGAAGCTGCTTTAAATGAAAACATTTAACAATGTGGCAATAAAACGTTGACTTTAGGTCACTGAGAAAATTTATTTATATTCACAAAAAGTACATTTGTACAAAATAACTTCAATGATGGATCAAACTGCACATGATGATGATCAACCATAAATAGCAGACCTGAGTACAGACCCATCAAATGTGTGTTTAATCACCATCACCTGTAGTAGTAGTAGTAGTAGTAAGTGTGGACAAAATAATAGGAACACCCTAAAATATCGAGTGCAACACTACCACTAACTGTGACTTGAAAAGTTACCACAAAATTCAATCAGCATCTCTCCAACACTGCCTTAACAGTAATAGGTGTTGTTACTGTGGCCATCTCCTTTAGCCTGGCCATTCAGCAACTTATCTGAACTCATATGTGACTTGTACACTGCTCATTTACCTGTGACGTTTCAGTGATGATGTTCCACTGCTGGGAACATCACATCCCAGCAGTGGTTTAGTTTGGAGAGTAACTGGTCCATGCAAAAAAAAATAATTCAAGAAAGGAGGTATATTTCATGTAAATTAAGCCATGTGATTAATGGAGAAATACCTCATGAGTAGAGGCTAAACTGAGTGACTATGACCTTCGATAATGGGGGAAGAATAATTTTATAACTATGCAAAATCAGCTTGTCCAACCTGGAAAAATACCGCTTACTCTTTCCTTTCATTTGATGTCACAGCTTCTCTGAATTGGCAATCTGCAGTACTGTAAATTGTCTAGCCAACAAGATGCCTTAATAAGCACTTGTGCTATTTGTATATGATGCATGATGGCATCAGTGAAAGGCCATTAAGAGCAGATATACTCTAGAGTGTGACACTGCCTTTCCTGAAGCACATTTAGTTCAAAACTTCCACCTGTGGCACCACTTAGTGGTTCTTCTTATGGCTCTTGCTTGGTGGTCCGCTGAACTGTACAATGTTGAAATATATGAATGTTCCCAAGAAGTGCAGGAAAGCAGCTGTAGACACCAACACGGTAAACAAGTCAGGTAGATGTGGTGGAGGAGCCAGAACTACACTCATGATGCTTAGACCAGCCATGGCTGCGACGCTGATGTAGAACTGTAACACAGACGTTGTTATCAGCTGATTTATATAAGAGCAGGGATGTAAGATCATACAGTACGCCAAGCTCATAGTAATGATACAAGACTTTAAAAAAGCCAAAACAGGCTGATGTGAAATAATTATGGTCAGGTGTGACACTAGAGCAACCTGAAAGGGGAGAGTCAAGGTACTCTTAGGGACTTTTTCTAGATCTGTCAATTGTATTTCATGCCCTTTATCACTGGATGGAGTCTGCAAATTGTCATTAGTGATCTAATAACTAAACTCAGTCAGTGGAGGAAACACTTCATCTCATGCCCACACTCGCCTTCTCCACCCCAAACCCATGAAACCTTAGCACCATCATTGGGGCTCGCTATTTATGCTGCTTGTGTAAATAAATATATGTAGGCAAACTTGTGTTAATGGCACGTGCTATAAAAAGATAGCTTCTCTTAATCTGTGACACCCTACCGGTGCCCCTGTCGCTAAGGGGCTGGTGGTGCAGTCACTTCAGACGTTGTGGAAACTTACATAAGTGATAAATAATTCTTTGGCTGGCAGCAGCTTTCATCCCCAGACAGCTTACAGTGGCACATGATCCTTATTTATACAGTTGAGTATATTTTCTCACACAGTTGCAATTTAGGTCTAGTGCCACTTTCAAAGTTAAAGGTCTCCTGAGATCCAGATATCAGCACCTTTATTACAAATGTACATCATCTCCTTAACTTATCAGGGTCCAATTACTCTGCTTTGTTTACTGTTAGTCGTTGAGCAGCTGTCTAATCTGAAGCAAGCCTACAAAGCACGTGTGTGTGCAGGATTTGACAGTTTGTGATTCTAGTGACTCCTAGTGGTAGTATCAAAAAGCACTGTGGTGGACAGCAATGCATGCTACAACTGACCCAGGAACATTGAAATTAATGGGCTGAAAGGAACACAGATCACACACTCGAGGTGTCACCAGGACTGTCTTAACAACTGGCACAAAACCGTATGCCATCAGAATCAGATGCAGATTTTACACACATGCATTTAAAATTATTCATGTATGCCCTGTGTGTTTGTGTTGGACATGAATGAAAACATGCAGTACTACAACATGTGTTCAGAGGTGGCAAAAGTATATGCATTTGCTACTCAAATAGAAGCACAGACACCTCTAAAATAAACTGGTAAGAGTACTCATTCACACTCGAGTGAAAGTAAAAAAGTATGGGCTCTGAAGTGTAATCAGAGTACAAACGTGAAAAGTTGAACCTCACGTCATATTTAATATATGTCCAAGACTATTGTATGATTCTAACTTCAAATAAAAAAAAAAAAAAAAAAAAAAAAAAAAAAAAAAAAAAATTAACATTTTCGTTTTTTCACGTTTGTTGTATATTGTAGGCACTGTTATGTAAAATAAAAATTAATAACAATTCCCCTCAAATATATTGAAACCAAATATAATGAGTCTGATTAGTTAATGTAAGAAACAAAGTACAGATATTCATGTTAAAATGTATGGAGTAAAAGTACAAAGTTAGAAAAATTAATGCTTACTTATTTGTACTTTACTTCCCACCTATGCATGTGTGAAAGGTATTGAATAATCTCTGACATTTACCAGCCTTTATTAACAACTAATTACAAGTGCATCTGCAACCTCTCCTTTCTGAACTACAAAATGGAGCTGACATAAACCAAAAAACAAGCAAACAAAAACAAAAAAAATTCACATTAGTATACTGACCTTCCATCTCAATATATAGGCCAGGTCCAGTTTGGGTAGGCAGGAAAACAGCTTATGGTAGGCACTCAGTCTCAGGTCTTCCTCTGAACAATGCACCAGTGCAGACATTAGATAGATGCTGAAGAAGAGGAAGGCCAGTGAGGTCACAGCATAGGGCACTAGCAGACCGTCCTTCAGAAACAGAGGCAGCATGCTGCACAGAGGAACGAGAACAATGGCGCATTTCTGTTGAGGTCTTTGATGTCATGACACATTGCTCCAGATAGAATATGGAAGAACTGCATACAGATGTAGCCTTTACTGTAGTGCGTTCCACTTTTTACATGCAATGTGCAGCTGGAGATTTGATATATTTCCATTGTGCAGACATGCATAAAAAATAATTTCTATTCCCCCCACACATACTAGAATTGTCCAACAGTACCTCATCATGTTTGTTGAGAGAAAGGAAACTTTAGCATTTATCCAACAGGCCTGCACAAGCTTTCTGTCCCCTGGGGAGAGCTGGCTCTCACATTCATGCCAAGCTTATCTTACTTTAGCAGAGGGGCATGGACAAGAGCAAGTTGACTCATAGTAAAGTGCATATCACCCCAGCTTGTAACAACCTATCCATTTGCAACAAACCACTCACTCTAATTTTTGCTCCAATAATAAGGCCTCATTCAGCAGATAAATGTTTAACATTTTGAAAATGCATACTTCTTTAATTTAAACAGACTGGCTGCATTTTGTCCTGTGACAGTTGCTGTGGTTGAGCATTCATCCAGTCAATTATGCTAACAAAAGATGTATTTTTTTAAATGCCAGAGGACGCACATAATGTGAAAGTCCAAGTCAGACTGTATGAGACAGCTACAGAATGAGCTCCTGTCCCTGCACAACATACGTACACTTAGACAACAGGCATGCTGACTATGTTGTGTAATGTCTAGATATCTTTATACTAAACCGCAGGCACAACAATTAGAGCTACCGGAAGAATTTAACAACAGCTGGTGAAAGTTAGATGGTGCAGTCCAGTTTGAATAAGACAGTGGTCTTTTCTCCATACAGTCTCACCTAAATGTGGACGCCAGCAGGAACCAAATAACCATCAGGGGCAGGTCGCTCAGCAGGAGGCAGGCAGGCCTAGAAAAGATCAAAAATAGATACTAACTACTGAACACACTCCAGTAAGTACCATTAAATATTACTACATACTAAGGATATGACAGATCAGAGCTGGATGTGAACCAGTATCAAGTGTGTATAATATCAACTATCCAACTTCTATTCAATTTCCAAAAGTTTACTCTGATAAATGTGTCTGTAGCAGGTCCATTGTTAACCGGACCAGATTGTCAGTGCTGGTGCTAGGTGTACAGTCTGCTTTGAGAGGGGTATTTCCGTGAGTCTCTGAGCCCATAATTACAGCCAGTGCTCTTTGGCGATCCTGTTACAGCCCAATAATTGATCCTGCACAAACAACTACCCGAGCTGCTGCATGCCATTCTTTCCTAATCCCTGGACATGCATTACTGATTGATTCAGGAGGACAGGTGGGAGATATAACTCAATAGATAATAAAGCAACAATCTATCCTAATCTAGATTAATAGATGAGCCCAGATCTAGAAACCAAATACCTAACTGTCAAATCTGTCTCAGGCTTTGCTTTCAGTGTACAGCTGCTACAACGTTATACATATGCTAGTAAATTGTAATGAACAACAAACATGCACATGTAGGGCTGCTTTCACACAGGAAAATAGTGGGTGCGTTTGAGGGGGTGTTGTATCATATACCGTATTGGTGAGACAATTGGCTGCGTTCTTTCGTGCAGAGCAGCCTCATGTGCAAGTGTTGTATTTACTGTTAAATATGACCCCACTCCAACACACAGCAACGGAAGCTGAGCCTGCTGCTTTTGTGTCTGTGCAGCGCCGAGTGTGACGGAAGAGGTGTACAACCAAGTCTTAATTAGATTGTTCCTCTGCCACTCTGGGAGCACAGCAGGAAAATGGCCATAGTGCACATCTGTTGAACTCATTAACACAAGACGTCCAAGAAACTTGAGATTTGTAGTAGGGATAACACTAATGGCTGGCTTTGAGCAGAATTAAATCTCGATTAATGAATATTTGAGCTATTACTACAAGATGGAAAAAATACCATTTACATTTGTTAGTGTCACCATCACAAAAACCTCAAGAAGTTCGTTATCTTCTCTGTACTTACAAGGCAGCCAAGAGGATTGACTTCTCATGGACTTGATAGGAGAAGAGGAAAAATGCCAGCGATGAATTGGCCTAAAAGTGACAATGAGATAATCTGCTGTTATTGGGTGATAATACCTGATAGGACATCTTACTGTCAGGCCAATGAAAAAAAACTAGTGTATGAACACAATAAACTTCACATTATGATGTCTCATATAGAAAAGTGAAATGCAGAAGGGTCTCGAATAAATAAATGACGGTATATATTTCATTTGAGCCGATATGTCAATTGAAAAACAGGCCTCATCTCTATAAAATGAGGGTCTTTGCATTCAGCTTGCTATAGTTTTGAATTTAGTTACAGTGGGCAGGTTGGAGTAGTCGGGCCCAAACACTCACCAAGGCCAGTTTAAACTGCCAGAAGTTGGGCTTTGTCAGAAGTTTGATTGAGGAAGGCAGGACTGCCAGGAGAGTGCAGCCAAAACTGGAACAACAATACAAATGAGCATTCAGATTATCTCACATCAGCACTGTCGAAAACACACAAATTCTGAAAATCCCCAGTGGGAGAAAAAAAAAAATACAGCAGAAGACTTGTAGAGTATAAAATAAATTTGGAGGTAGTATGATTAACTACATTTGTACATCTGTCTGTTGTGTTGACATGGCTTCAATGAAAGTCTACTATTTTGCCCAAATCACAAAACCCTCAAGAATAACAAAACAAGATTCCTTTTCATTTGGTGGAACTAGGTGATCTGATTTCAGTGCCTGATGTAAACGGTTTGTTGAACCGGGGTCTAACTGTACAACTATCTTGCTCTTTTTTAGACACGGCCTGCTGCTGCCGAGACCCCAACTATGTAGGACTTGACCAAATGCTGGCCCCTTTTTAGGGTTACAGTCATTAATTTAACCCTTCTATTGTCACCTGTTGGGGGTAGGGGCACTGGAAGAGACTGTGTCAGAAGGAATGTGTATAAATGTGCTGAGGACAAACAGCGCAGTAGTTAAAGATATGAGGGCAACAGTGTGTGTGTACTATGATTTGTAGAAGTGATGGGGAGCTGTTTATGAACATCTATAGATAGAAACAGCTGGATAAACAGACAAAAGGTAGATAGTAGTAATAAAAGACCAGTATGTGGGCGTGCATGAAAGTGAGCGCGTTATGCATGTGTTATGTGCAGGGCAGGGTTTTGTGGTCCAGAAGGACGTGGATCACTTTTCACAGCTGATTCATTCTATGTACACAGTAACCCACCCCAGAGCATTTAGCAATCCGCTGCCTGTGCCAAAAAGACTAGAGTGTTTTTCACTGGTTTGAAATGCACCACAGTCAAAGAAGTCCAACTTGATCCCTAGACTTAGCAGTCTGGCTGAAACGTGTCCATGCTGCAAACGTCAGACTCCTAAATTTAGTGTGCCGGGTTATCTAAGCAGGTTCCACCATTATATGACTGCTGCATGGACTTTTTCTTGCCACCGTGATGGGTCAGTTTCTCAACTTTTGGTCAACTTAACTTAGCCAAATAGTTCATAGGATGCTTTGTGAGGTTAGAGACACAAGAAGAATTCATTGTCATGAGTATGGCACTCAAGGTTTACTGCCTCTTCTCCCCAGATTGCACCATTGATTTCTGTCACTCTTTTGACAATGCCATGTCATCTAATAAAGCACATACTGTATATGTCCTTGTAATTTTGAAAAGAAAATATTGATACCAGGTTGATTTACTCTGCTGTATCTGTATATAAGACAAGATTTAGTAGTTCCTTCAGCTGTTCAACCTCTTGTCACAGCATTTACAAAAAAGATGTGACAGAAGTTCCTTACAAGATGCTTCCTTAAAGAATGATTTTATTTCCATCCTGCTGGACTAGTCTTCATTCCCTTTGGCACGCCCTGTGTTCCCAGGAAATGAAAGGAGTGAAAACAAGAGACAGGAGGGAAGGAGTCACGAAAAGAGAACGAAACAATGAAAGTGAGGACAGAAAACAGTGACATCTTGTTTGATAGTTACAGGGATTACCTGAGGTAGAGCTGAGAGTCACTGGACAGAATGGATCTGAACCTGATCAGGATATTCAAGCTGCACCATATATTAGCCACCTTATCCTGTGTGCACACACAAACACCACTAGGTTAAATGAGGAGTGTCAAATGAAAGCACAGAGACACTTGTTAGAGTTCAGCATGTGCCTTGATACCTGATAACTCAATTCAGAATTTAGAAGAGAAAGCACATAAGTGGCATTGCTATTAGTGATTATTTGCCCATTGAAAGGGCAATATAAATTCCCTGGGGGATTCCAGGGGGACATTTGTACATAGCTCCACATCATAAATTTACTCCCCTGTCAGAAAAAGCATGGGACCTATTTGTAAACTAAGGGACATGAGGTCAAGTGTCAAAAGTAGTTTCTGCATAACCAGCAGATACAGACCAACCACACAGCACAGCTGAAAAAGATATGGTAATATACAATGTCAATGTTGAGCAATTCTCTATGTAGTTAAATGTCTGTCAGTTTTTAGCAAAAATATTTTATATTAACCAATATTTTCATCATTGAATAATCTGCCAGTTATAAATATTTACTTATAAAATGTAATACAATTGTGTTAAATCATTTTCCCCAGGGCATGTTCAAATTAATCCAAAACCTGGAAGAGTTAAAATTTACAATAATATAAAACTAAGAAAAGCAGAACATTCTCACAGCCAGACAGTTTGGCATTTTAGCTTGATTAAAATGACTGAAAGGTTCAATCCACTATTAAAAGACCATAACCTTTTCTCACATCAGACTGTGCCCGTTCAAACTGTGTTTATAAACAACCCAGAAATCACATCTTTATGGTTTGAGAATGAAACAGAATGTATTAATACCAACCTAAAAGTAATGAGATCAGATGAGGAGGGTGTTGCTGAGTGATTCCCTTGATTTAAGTGCTTATGCAGTTGTACAGGGATCAGATGATCTTGAGGCCCACTGTTGTACCATGACATTACAACAGAGAGACAGTGTACCTAGATCAGCGTTAGGATTCCACTGTGAATGGTTTCTCAGTGTGGCCCTGTCTAGAAAAACTATCCCTGGTCTGCTCTCTCTCTCTGCTCTGTGCTACAGCTGCTCACAGCACAGCTGTGTGGATCTTAATGGCAGCCTAGTCAGCAGCACTGGGTCGTCCTGTCCATCCCTCTGTCTTCTCTCTCTGTCTCCTCACTCCAAATAAGCACTATGAGAATGTTCCTAGATGGTGCTGAAGGCAGCACATGAACAAGAGGGGGGCTCTATCGGGTGAGAGCAGTGTGCCTCCTTCACCTCTGAGCTAGCATGGAATTTCACAGGGAGAAGCATTTGGAGCCATTTTTGTAAGCAGACAGCCACATGAGATGCCAGAGTGCAGCTCAGTGGGTTAACTTACAGCTGCTCCAGAAGCCACCAGGACCACCAGCTCTCCTCTCCTCCACCACCCCTGCCCCCTGACCTAAGCTTCTGCATATATGTACAATCAGTTCAGGATGACTGGCCCGGCAGCCTCTTATGCTGATGTCACAGGGAAGTATAGTGTCTCTCACACCCTGTGTATTATATTTGCATCATTTCATTGAACAAATACTTCTGCAGCCACACTGCCACTGCACCCCTGGTAAAACTTCTCACATCCGTAACACCTTGTGGCAGGTGCCACCTCGGGGACCGGGATAAGAGGAGAGTTACAGGATTTCAGAAATGAGAGCTGCAAACCTTTGCCTGTGAGCTGTCAGTTACACATTCAAGCACAGAAACACTGTTACTTCACCTCTGCTTCTTCCTTGACAGCTTTCAACCCTGCTGACTCTGGAACTGTTTCAAGTAACTATCACTTTCCCTTGTAATTACTATCACATTTCTTTATCTTCTTTTTTTTTCTCCTCAGAAGCCATGACTGACCACAGCATTCAGATGTGCATGTGTGCTATGAAACACTCCGACATACTTATACGCTGGTTAAAGAAGTAGCACTAGCAGCCAACAGTTGCTGGGATGTGCTCTGATATGATACAGTATATAGGTGTACAGTTGGCTCCACTCATCAGTCCATAGGGCCAGAACATGGCTGTGCTATGAAGTGCTGAAAACACCCTGGCCATAAATTATATTTATCTATATCCTCCCACTGTATTGTACATCCCGAACCCCAGCACGTTCTCAGACAGAGAGTGAAAACGATCTCCTGACCATTCACTGTATGGTTCGGCTGTTTTCTTTGATCCTGCGGGGTATCCGCTTCTGACTGGTTAAGCACTGGAGAGTAGTGGGTTGTTCACCATGCTGACAGTAAGGAACTGTGTGTCGGGTATGAGGTGTGCCACCTAGGTTGTGTTTGACTCTGTAAAATACTGACTTCTAGGAACTAATGTTTATCGAATTTAATTGGGAAGTGTCCTAACAGTGTCTCAGTTAGCCCTTAACAACACAAAAGACAAAAATGTCTTGAGCAAATTAGGTCAAAATGCATCACAATTTTTATTATATGTTAATGACAGTATTTGGAATTTCAGTCTTGTTTTTTTCCCAGTTGTTATATTGAGATTGTGACTAGAAAGCTCCTGTTCTCCTAGGTTAAGTTTCTCAGTTGTGGTTTTCATTCATGAAACTCTACTGTACCTCAAACAGACCACGTGCCACAGGAAAGATCCTCCTGACCACCTGCAAGGTCTGGTTGGGGTCAGACAAGAAGGGCAACCAGCAGAGGGCAAAAGTCATCAACACTGTTACAGCAATTCTCACCAACAGGAAAAGCCTACATGAAGAGAGTCACACAGACACACACTGTTTACCTCTCAGAGCCTGAAGGTCAGATATACAACCAATTTTAACAGTTTTGTTACCGTAATATCTAAAAATACAAATGTTGACGTTTGCAAGTAGCTTGAGTACAGTTATGTCTGTAGGTGCTGGGATCTCTCTAACAATCAGCACACGCTGTCTGTGAGACCTAAATTTGGGATTCAGCCCTTGTGTTGAGGAATGCTGGGAAAGCCATGCATCAGCTGAAAATCTCCAGAGTAGGTCACAATATCTTGTCAGCTGTAACTGTGAAGAGGCTGGTTAAGTTGCACACACAGGCATAGCTGAGGAGCCTGGGCATGGCGAGAGTGTCATCTGGACATATCTTCCCCCCGGCCCTTCTAATCCAGCTCTCCATTTGCTACTAAATGCCCTTGGTACATTGTTACTAGATAAACAGACACACTAGTAACAGCATCCAATCTGATTACCTCAGTCATTCAGTGGCTCTCCTGAGGACACTGCTCTATTACAGACTGACATTACATATCTGGTGTGAGCACTAAGTTGACACTTCTGTCCCGAGCGACAAAACAATATAAACACCGTTGTAACAATCAGGATTTTATCCTTTGACTTTTAATGAGACAATATTTTTAACCAAAGCCTTGAGTGTCGGTTTCACAGAACAATTTTACTGGCCTTTACTTTACCATTACTAATTCAAGAAAGAAACTTTCTTTAGTGTTATCAGTATTTTATTTTAAGACAGCAAGGGAAAAAATAAAAAAACATTCTTGGCATCTCTTGTTTCCCATCTCTGTTCCTGGCACAACTAATGCCTTGATCATAGCACTTCATCAGTACACTATGGCTGGACCTTTGACATTAGCAAGGATGGAAAGAAATACAGAAAAAAGAAAGAGACACAACTGCCAAAGAAAAACTGAGGAAAAGAGAAATGAAGTGTGTTGTTCAACATACTGCAAGTGTTGCTAGAGTTTTGATCACTGCACTTTGTTTTTCCTTATCTATGCACCTCGGTAGTGGGTGAGGTTGTCATGTGTTTTCTTTGCAACAATGAAAAGTAAAAGAAAGGAAATGGAAGCACAAGAAGCAGTGAAATAAAAACACTCACCCCCTCCCTGTCAGACCCAGTTTGATGCACTTCCCCAGCAGGTAGCAGAAGAAGGGCAGAGCATGGTACAGCTCCATTTGTTTGTAGTTAAGAGCCAGGCAAAAGGCCAGGGAGCCCAGTGTGTCCCAGCCCAAACCCAGAGCCACAACTCCCCACAGGGCAAAGCCCAGGCTCACTCCATTGTACCTGATACTGTCAAGGTTGATGGACTAAAATGTTTCAACCTGTTTAGTGTACATATACACCTTAGAAAGCAGCAGCTGATCTGGACTCAGCTGAGTTCAGATATATTGAACTCTTTAATTCTTGTTTCCATAGTGTCTGAATAAAAACAGCTTGAAACACAGTGAACCATGGTTTTTATGGTTTTACAGTACGTCACTGTCTCTTTTATTGCATCTAATAGTTCTGTTGGTTCTATCATACTGTAGAATAACAAAACCACTACTTAAATGAAATAAAATAACTGTGCCCCAAGTCAATGTCTTTCTTTCCATCCAATCTATAATAAAAGTGCACTCCCATGACAAAGTCACATTATATAACATATATAACATTGATATGTTATAAATAATCCTATGTAGTGTTGCTGAGGAGCTAAATGTACAAATATTAGCTTATTAGCATTTTAAGAACTATGAAAAAAGCTGTGCTCACAGTTTTTTTTTTCAACAGAGGTATTTACAAGAACACTCATTTAGGGTCTGAGTAAATAATAAAATTCAAGTCGCTAAAAATATTGTAAATCCTTACAAATCAATTACAGTTGTATTTAACTTCGCATCTTGATTAGTGCAATGCCCTCTATATCAGAATTAATCAATCTCTGGTACAGAACGCTGCTGCTCGTCTACTGTCAAATACCCCCAAGTACGCCCACATCACCCCTGTTCTTCACTCGCTGCACTGGCTGCCAATGCAGTCCAAAATTGATTTCAAGGTGTTATTATTTGTCTTCAAGTCTATTAATGGCCTTGCTCCAATATATCTGTCCGATCTGCTGTCCATTCGTACTCCGCTTAGGGCGCTGCGTTCTTCAGAGCACGTGCCCTTGGTTGTCCCTGCCTTGTAAGTACAAAGAATGGGGCGATCGTTCATTTGCCGTATACGGCCCCATGCTCTGGAACTCCTTACCCCTGGAGTTACGGTCCATAACTGAGTTATCATCGTTTAAGTCCAAACTAAAAACTTAGCTTTTCAGACAGGCTTTTTGTGCTTAAGCTGCTCCAGTGGCATCATGTCGATGTCTTTTAGCTCACTGTTTTATACCTGTATTTGATATGGAAGCCTTTCATTAGCCTTCGATTTATATGTTGTGTTTTTATTTTTCTTGTTTTTGGTCTTATTGCTATGTTGTTGGTTATTTATTTTCTATTTGTTGTTTTGTGAAGCACTCTGGACTCCTATGGAGTTGTAAAGCGCTATACAAATAAAGTATTATTATTATTATTATTATTATTATTATTATTATTATTATTATTATTAACTGAACTCAAAGTTCTACAAAGTCTGTGAGAAAAAGTACTTACAACTTACTTAATGTGTTACTTTATTGAGGCCTGGGCTTTAAAGCCAATGGCTGCTACTATGAAGGTCAGTATTTCATAGGAAGTCAACAAAGCAAACTATAATAATGATATCACAGTGAATAAACAGCAGAAATGCACCTTTACCTAAAGGATACTGGAAATGGCCATAGTCGATGAGAATGAGTCCTGGGTACAGCAAGAAGCAGAACAGAGTGGAAACCTGGAGAGAGGGGGCATTTGTAAGTTATTGGAAGGCAAACATAACTAGAATACAATATGAGTCCACTGGTTATTAGTATAACCTGGTAAGGGTCTCCTTTAGCTACTGATGTTTTAATAACTGTTTGATAATGCAAGGCATTTTCAGAACAATAGAAATTATCTCTGTAAATTTATGAAGAGCTGCTGAAATGTAATAACTTCCTGGAAATGTAATATCATAATTCCCCAATTTGGAGGACCACTGCTGTAATCTGTTTTAATAAGGGTGGTTCCCAGACTAAAAGGAAAATGTGGCTCATTTGGGTCTTTAGCTGAAAAACTATTAGATGTCATACTAGGCCAGTGTCTTACCTTTCTCTTAGAGGATCCCTCAGTCAGATATAAACAATATAAAACCACAGCAGGGATATATATCAACAAATCTGCCACCAGGACTGAAACAGAACAAAGAACCATGTTACGCTATATGAAACAAATGCTAATTTTCACACTTGATATGAACAGTCCATCCACGTGTGTATCATCTAAGCAGGTGCAACGCTGTCTACAGGCAGGGATCCTGGAAGCTCTTCACTTTATTTCTTCATGGTTACTGTACCTGTAGCTCTCATGAATAACTTGTGTGCTGAACTTTCATAACCTCTGGATTTGTGGAGCTCCACCCATTCAGGATTTAGTATTTTGGCTCTACAGAAAATCACAGATGTCAAAATTGAGAGAAGTTTGGATTTTATTGCCGTTTCATTGTTGAAGAAAAAAAATCCATCCAATATATAAAATACTAGAATAGGATATAAAAGTAAATAGAAAAGCATAATATTCTATATTAAACCTGATCTTTTCTCAAATTAACATTCTGTTAAAGAATAAAGCTGAGATGGAATGTTAAAAAAAATTGCTTACATATAAGCACAGATCCAGCTGTGGTACGCCGTCAGAGGAGGGTAGTCAAGGCCCCAGTAGTTCAAGTTGTTGTCAGTGGTGTTGAAGTACCTGGAGGATTACAGATGTTACATGGTTATTTTGAAACAGTATTAGTGTCAGACAAACTAAAAAAAAATTCCACTACTACAAGTAAGTCCTGCATCAAACTGTGTAAGTGTAATCAGGAAAATGTACTTCAAATATCAAATGTAAAAGTACTTGATGCAGAAAAGTGGCTCCAGTGACTGTTACTATGCCGTTTTATAGTGTGTATCATTAGATTACCGGTACTCATGGATTCATGTGTAAGTAGCATTTTACTGCTGTAGCTTGTTGTGGTGGACTTACCAATTTTGTTTAGGACTGCAAGTAATAATCATGCTTAGTAATGACTAATGTATTGATTATTTTCCCAGTTAATCAACTGATCACTTGGTTTGTAAAAATAAAAGTAACAAATGCACATGCAATGATCCAAAGCCAGATAATTTGTGAAGTAACTAGTAATTAAATCAGACAGATAAACTAGGAACCATATTTTCCTCTGGATAGTAATGGTGTACAAGTATGAAGTAGCAGGAAAAGAAAATACTAAAGAGAACTTTTCCTTGTGTGATTACGCTTGGATGTGTCAACCCTGTTCCCCTGAGTACACTAATGCAGCTGACCATTCCTGGAGAGGGAGGTTGTAGGTCACTTCTTGCCAGTGCCTTTGGGCTTCGTAGTCGCCGAACATGGGTGGTTTCCCCGCCCCTGGAGGAAAATCATTCAGCTGGTTTAAGTCTGACGAGTGAGAGACTACTTCAAGGAATGACAACAAGAAACCACACACAACAACACTTTGCTAACCGATAACACTAAAAGAGACTTTGTCTAAGGTTCATTAGAAATCAGCGGAGCTACCCTGGGATAAACAGCAGCGTGGCAAAGGAAACGTGATTGTCTGAATGGAGCATGTTAGCGTTAGCTCCAACCATTTCCTACCTGAATATGGATTTAACGAAACGCCCCATCTCACAACAACGCCCAGCAAAACAGAAATGGATACAAGATTCCACGTTTGCATAACTCTGACCGGAAAAATGAGCTATTTTTGAGGAAAAAATAAATGATCATAATCAGTTCATTAAGACAGCTTTGGAAAATGTTTACACTTCCTGTATATGTCATCTAGCAAGGATTCGTCTCAACCTCTCATTGGTCCCTCCAGCCTGACGTAGGCGCTGAGGGGTGTGGGGTGTTTGGGAACAGTTAGAAGAAAAGAACATTTTCCTATCGTCGAAATATAGCTGGGAAAAAACAAACAACTCATTGTTCATCGACTTTTAACACTATTATAACAGATAGACCTAGAAGTAATCCTTTGCTGACGTCAAAATTTGGTTTGATTACCGGCGGTAACATCACCTCCAGTGCCAGTTTTATTTATAATTACAACTCGATGAATGAAAAGCTGAATTTCCCAGGCACGGGAAGGCATCATGCGTTGAGATGAGCTTTATGACAATTGCAGCATGTAGTGCACCGATAAAGATCTCTCTCTCGTTTTTATTTTTTATTTTATTATTATCATGTTTTATTGTAGTTGACATTAAATTTAGAGGTTAAAAACTGCAGAAGTGTTTATTCACCAGCAAATAAACACAACAAGGAGTGCATTATAATATAAAAACATAATACTAAAACTTTTTTCTGGACATTAGGAAAAACTGAGTGTAGTTATGGTGTAATGTCTGGCGCTTTAGTGAAAAATGACTGAATGATCAATAGTATAGAAGCAAAGTTCCATTAAATAAGCAATAAGTTAATACGCTCATTGCATTAAATCTGCTCATGAGTTCTGAACAGGAATTTGTTCTATAATAAAAAAAAATCGTTTCTAAAGTATTGGAATCATATCAGGAACATGCAAATCCCAGTGTATTTATATTAGTGTCACTTATCAGTTCTGATATAGCAACATCAACAAATGTGTAGAGCTGTAGTGGATCAGTTGCCTGGTGTGTAACTAGTTTGCTGTAACAGTCTGTATACAGATATATGTGTGTGTGTGTGTGGCTATAACAGCCTCCCCTTGTCCTCCCCTCACAATGTAAATCTCAGCCCAGGGGCATTTTCTCCTCTGTGACCTTTTCTTCTGTTGACACCATCGTCTTTGTTCCCAGGGTGCTGGGATTTGTTGGGCGAGACATGTTCCTTGTGGTTACAGCATCAATTATGCATAAATAATAATAACCTCAGACAACTGCTGATTTGCAACGACACTTTCATTACAACAGCAGCAGCCTATAACTCACTGGTACCCATTAGTTATTAATGCCTAGCCACACCAGCTTTACTTTGTCATTTACTGCTTCATCTCTATGCCTTTTTAAATATTTAGTAACTGCTGTACCTACATTTACTGTCTGTGATCTCCACCCAAAAGAAGGCTATAGCTTGTGAAGCAGGATGACCTAGTTATTATGGAGGCCCGGGCCTTGCTTCCCAGTGCTACTCGTAGTCTATCATGAAGTCAAGTTTGCTCCAGCAAGTCAAAGTTGATCTGTTCTGCTATTTTCTCTCATGTTTGATTTTGTTGTTGATGTTGAAAGATTTGGTATAATAATATTATCCTATGATCACTTAAAATAGCCTGCTGGTTATTTACTTTATGAATTCTGGAGTCCTACTGTATCTTCATTGTAGATATACTCTTACTGAATTATTTGGAAACTACAGTATTCATAGTATCCATTTAGAGGCATTTTAAGGTTGTGAGGACTGACATTCCCCATCAGTTTTGTCCAAAGCTTTGAAAGCCCAAATTGCTCCCTATTTTTTTATTGTCAAAGCTGAATGATCCCGACACTCAACTTTCCCTTTTTAATTCAAAGGTCAAGGGTAACACATTGCTTTAACTACTGCCCTTGTTATCTATCAGATAAACAGGAGCTGACCTGGTTTTCACTTGGATCAGGTGCACAACACTGTCCAAGCATGACTCCCATCACAATGAATGAATGAATGAATGAATGCAAAGCGTAAACTCTGGCTTTCGAGTATGTATAACAGTCTATCACTGTGTTTTTCCTACTCAAAGTACGCTGTTGCGCAGAGAACTACGAGCTTGAAGGTCAATAAAACATTACAGCGTGTATACAAGCTGTAGCCTATCTCTAATTAATATTTCGTGTTTAGCCTTATGTCAGCTTTATTTCTGTCAAACTGACAGTCTCAAAATCAACTAACCAACTATCCACAATCAACAACCAACCAAAGAATCATATCTTTTGTTGGAGCTCATGTTTCCCTAGACACCTAAACAAATCTCTTTACCACACACAATTGCATCCATATTTTCACAGATCTTTGTTTTCTTGATATCAGAAACTATCCTAAGTGTCCTGTAGATTATCTGATCATTTTATTTTAAATAAAAGATCTCCACAAACAGTGGTACTTGTGAAAATATGTTCTTCAACAGCCTGGACCATATTAACCAGAAATGTATGTAAACATGGGTAAACAAGAAAGCTGATACTGGAACGATATGAGCACACAGAATCAGCTTGCTGGGTAATGTAGATTTCTGGAAGAAAAACCTGCCAGATAACACAAATTATGTCCTTTCCGCTAAATCTGAAACTGAACCAATGAATTTAGCATCTTTCTGTCTTGAACAGTTATGTAGCTTATAGGTGCTGAGACCAAAAGAGATCATGAAGAACGCCCTACTTTTTATTTTAGCAAATATTATGTCAAAATGTTCCTAATCTGGTTGGATCATTGTAAATACAAAAAAAAAATTTAAGGTCAAAATGAATTTAAATGAGCTGTCTCAGCTAATTTACACCAAACAATGTGGACTTTATTTACAGTTTTAGAAACTGCTTGAGACTAACATTGACTGGTGGAGCTGTGGGCACCACAGTCCACCCGTGCACAAGCAGGTGGAGCCTCAGAGGTCATGTAGTGAGTGTGTGCGAGGGGGAGGATGTTCTTTAAAATATTAGTGCAACCACAAAATTGTATTAGTGGCAACACAATACCGTGACAGTCGTTTTTGATACAGTTTATAATACACTGATGTCTTGATGGATTTAAACGAGGACATTTGGAGGAAATATTCCCATGTCTATCATCCAATTCATGATGTTAAATCATTGTCATTTCTCTTACCTGTAATTTAATACTTTTTTCCAATTAATATCAGGTTGAATCAGTTATATTAAATGTTGCATTTCCCATCGTCTGCTATTAAACCTTGAACGAGAACCTAATTAACGTCAACAACTTAGTCCCTACTTTAAGATAAATACCTTTAAACTGGACATACAATATGTTGTCTACCATGAAGGTGTGCACATATGGTGACTACTGTAAATATGAAAACAATTAACTACACCATCCCTGTTGCATTTCAGTCTAAAAACTGCCAATGACGATTAGACCAGAGTTACTTCAGTGTTCCCCTCAGCACATTCAGCTGGATTGGATCAACATTGCATTCAAACTAAATTATTGGACAAAGTCGAAATAATTAACAGTGTGGGAAGGTTTATGTTCCATTTCACTTGAGGCTGAGATCTATTTGAGCTTTTCTATTTCCGTAAGACGTTTCAGTTAAGTCCCCCTAGTGGCGCGACTCTAGTCTCTTCCGCGGTCTTGTCAACCTGCAGCATCACCGGTGCAACATCACACACACACGGACTCCAGGTGCGTGTGATATGCGTGTGAGCGTGAGAGTTCGGCTCAAGGGCCTTGCTTTGTGCGGGCTGAACCTGGGTCGGTAACCACGCACGCCTCGCACATGTTGAGACGGAAATAAATCAGAAATGAAAATAACTGATATGACAAGTTCCAAATATTTGACCAGTTCCTTAGTGTGAGTTGGACTTTTTTATTTCAGGTCTTCGAGAGTCACAGAACTGCTTTGGAGGACACATTCCGTTTTCTACATAACCCGATAAAAGAATAAAAACGACATTTTCTAATTGTACACTAAATGAGGTCGCTGGATGTCTGTGGTACAAACACACAAAGTGTTTTTCGGAGTGAGAATGTGATTATTAAATACCTGCTTAATTCATAGCTGAAAGTCAAAAGAGGGAAAAAGGCCTATAATGACAGAAATAATTAAGAACCTTATTAGAGTCTGCAATGTATATATTTATGTTTTTTTAAATGTCTTTATGTTATGTGATCATGTAATAATGAGCCAACGGTGACAATAAAACTAATTCTGTCACACAGAACCTCAACACTACGCTACTGGTAATAACAGCATGGCCCTACAGTGATAATGGATGCAGCAGAAGTGCCACGGTGACACTGGAGAAGCCTTTTGCATCATCAGCGCCTTCTTCGGTTTCTGGAAGTGAACTGAAGCAGAGAGAGGCTCCTTTCGCTTTCCCAGGAGGATCAGTTAAATATAGCGCCGATAACCTCCCCCACACACACTCTCACACACCCCGTTTGCTGTTTGTGTAGAGGTGATTAGCCAGACACAACTGCGAAACTTTTACCTTTGTAGTGGCCACGCCAGGACGTCTTGTAAAACGAGAAGAGCAGTGATGTAATGCTGAACGAAACGGTGTCGGAACGGTGAGCTACAGCTGGGATCAACGTCAGGAAGCCAACCGCAGATATATTGTACAAAGCAATTAGACCACCAGTTTGTCTTAACATGTGAAAGAAGATGTGGAAAACTGGAGAACTATTCCGTAAATAACCGCACATTGAAAATACATTTTTATATTTATCTTCTCGGGATATAACATTTCCTCCCTTCCACACAACAAGCCTTGGTTTTAGCCACTTGTTCATATATTATAGCTTTTAATTTTGTTTTGTTGTTATTTTTATTACTTAAGCAACAATTCTTATTTAATTTTAAATATTTTATATAATAAAATTGCAATATATGTTTAAAAAAATCGATTACTGAAATGGGTTCATATGATTTAGCTATTGTGGTAAAAACATAATTAAAGTTACTGGACAAATGGACTTATAATAGAATGATTTAAAATAAAGTGAACTATAAAAAGACAATTAAAAAATAACGTAGTGGATATTTGTTATAAACAATTATAAACAAATTTAAGCACATTATATTCACAGACATTTTTGTTTTATGGCAATTTCATAATGTTTAAACATCAAAATTCAATTTGTTTGTTTTCTTGTATTTTTATGCCTACAAAATGTGAGAAACAACAATTTTAATAATAACATGCTTCTCGTTAAATCACTTGCCAAACAATTTAAGAATGTTAATAATGAAAATTGGATTTGAATTCTTTCGTAGATTTATTTACAAATCAGTTTACAACACCATATACCTACATAGAACTACATATATTTGATTTTTTTTATTATAAACAGTCTATTTTTCAGAGCTTTTTGTGTCTTGTATGAAAATGAAGCAAAAATCGTGTCCATTTGAGCTTCTGATAAAAAGCAAAATTACAAAAAAATAAAATAATTATCACAGGTCTGAACAAAACCAACGGATAAAAGACAGGTAAAAGTCAAACCGGTAAAACGATCATTATCATTTTTAAACAAATATTTACAAATATTACCTGTACAGAAAATCTCCGTTTTCATGTTTGTTTTGTGTTTCAGCGCTCTTTGCCTACAGAGTCCAGTGCTGCCTATTGATTTGTGCTCTTCCCACTTCCCCCATTAATAATGTCTCTATATAAAAATAAGAGTTTTTTTGTTTTCTCGGTTTCAAGTCACTGTGAAGGCCATTTGGACACTGCCGCCGCCGCTGCTGAGGGTAAAACATGTCCCGAAATAATATTTGATGGTACACTGAGGATGGGCGCGATAGCGGCTGAGGTCCGGGTCAGAGAGAGTGACTGCGCGCTCAGCAGGGCCGATTGAACCGTCACCGGAGGCCGCAGGAAGGCCTGAGCGGCGCCCGGTGAGGTCGAGGAGGCGCTGGAGACCCCGATGATGTTTTCTATACTGAAAGATGGTCTGTTGGACGGCTCTGATTTGATCATGGACGCCGTGCTCAGACTGTTGAGTTGGAGTTGAAGGCTCGGGCTGAGCTGGGAGTTGAACGCTTTTCTGTTCAGCTCCGCAGAGGGCAGGAGAGGGACTCCTGGGGGCAGCATGGGACCTACAGGGGGGATGTACGGATACTGCAAAGCCGCCGGATGGGAATATGCAGCCGGGTGAATCCCGTAGTGCCTCCCGTAGGGTCCCCCCAGGCTGTACGCACCAAAACTTTGCATCATGAGCGCAGTCTGGTCCCTGAGCACGTCCGGCTGAACTCTCTTGAACCTTTTCCTCCTCCTGAGGAAGCTGCCGTTGTCGAACATGTCCTCTGAGGCTGGGTCCAGGGTCCAGTAGTTGCCCTTGCCGGGGTTGCCAGGTTCCCGAGGGATTTTCACAAAGCAGTCGTTGAGGGACAAGTTGTGACGAATGGAGTTTTGCCACGCCGGGAACTTCTCCCTGTAATACGGGAAACGGTTGCTGATGAACTCACAGATCCCGCTGAGTGTGAGCTTTTTCTGTGGACTCTGGAGTATGGCCATAGTGATGAGAGCGATGTAGGAGTAAGGCGGCTTTACCAGGCTGCTTTTGGGCTTCTGGATCGCTCCTCCTGTCGCCGCGCTCCCTTCATGACCTTCTCCCTTTCCGGTGCCCGTCTCTCCCTCCCCGGAGCTTTCACAGCACGGACTCCCTCCACCGGACCGTATCTCCTCCTTCTCCACCTCGATCTCGTCTTCCACCTCCTCGTCTGCCATCTCTCCTCGGAGGTCGTGCAGGATGCCTGCCCCCGGGCTGTCGCAGTCGCTGTCCACCCTCTCCATGCCTTCCTCGTCTCCCTCGCCAACCACGTCGATGTCCACGTCCTCCGTTGTAAGCACAGTTTGGCCGGACATGTCGCTGGCTCTTTCGCTGCCCCCAGACAGGGTCATCTCACGGCTTACTTGCAATGTTTTTAAGGTCTACTGGAGCCAAAACAAACGCGCAGTTGGGTGTGATGGGTAAGCCGGTTTGTGCGCGCACACAGCCGTTCTCTTAGACTTCTGATTGCCCCTTCTGATCGGATGTCTCCCAAAATCTAAATGCCGTTGAATCGGCAGCCGGTCAGTCAAGCCAAAGAGAAACTTCCACTTTTACAAATATTTCTCCACTCGGTAAGTGAGTAGGCCTATGAGAAGCGGCGCGTCTTGCCTCGAAGTTATTTGGCGATGGTGCGACTTTTGCGCTCCGACTGCCCTTTTCGGTGCGTATACTTCCTATAGGAGGGACATTTGGAAAACCAAGTCGAGATGACACTTGCTGCTTTTAAAAGCCGGAGCTTTTAAAAGGACCGTCTGATAGATTACTTTTCCCAGTATAAGATATACTATCAGTGCAGGACACGTGGTTTGGTGACGACAGACGCCCCCTGTCTTCTCCTCCCTCCCTCCACCCTCCTCTCCCCTCTGTTAAACCATGCAAACGAGTTGTTTCATGGATTTGTCAACAATGGGACATCAGCAGTGCTGCTTTCCGCTGATTTCTGTGTTCGTCCGTCATAGACCATTTAACGGCGGCAGAGGGAGGAGGAGGAGGAGGGGGAGAGAAAATTGGTCTGCATGATTGAAAGATCTGATGCGCATTAACGTGGTTGCGTAAAAACAATCCAAACCTTTAACTTTGCTAATACAAACACTGTTGAAAGCTGCAGCATGAAAACGACATCAGCTAAGTTCACGGAATCCTCCTTTAAACTCTTTAATGTTGTAACGTTTTTAAATGTGAAATTGCATGCATGGATTTTTCTGCACTTTGATTTAAACCAGTTTCCTTGCATGTCACTTTGCTACGCTGTTAGCCCGTAAAAGTTAAACAGTTTTGCTTTGTTTTTTTTAAATGTTGAAATGCATGACTTCATATTTCCAGTTCTACAACCCACCGTGTTAATTCCCAGCTGCGAATGCAAAGCATGAATTCAAGTCTATTTATTCCCGCAGGATTAGCCGAAGGTGGGAAGAATATTGAGCAGCGGCAGCATTGACAATGAATGGAGAGAATAAAGACGTTTCTTAAGAGTTTGGAAGAGGTGCTAACGACCCCAGTCATCACACGTTTTTACATTTGAAAAAAGTAGGAAATGCGGGCAGCGGGTGAATGCAAAGAGAACATTTATTCAAAAGCATGAAGGTGAGCGGTGTAGGCAGGGCTCAGGGAGGGGATGTCGAATCAAATACAGAAGGCTTCCTGCGCCGTGTGAGAAATGTTTGGAAGCCCAGTGGATGGAAGACTGGGCTTTTGAATTTTAGCAGACGTTCAAAAAGACTAATATGGGCCTCTGTCTCTGAAAGGAATATGTGTGTAGTTAATTGAGAACGTGGGATTTTCCAATGTGCCACAAGCGATTTAACCGTATAATTGATTTTATTGGAAGTCCTTTAGTAGGTTAATGAAAATATCTATAATCAACACCGGTCAGTTATCTGTGTCAGAGGCTGTATTTGAATAAATGAAAACATCTAAATAAATTATATAGATGCAGATATGATGCAATTGGTGATTCTCAAGCTCTTCTTTGTCTCAGTATATGTGGCAGAATACATTATTATTATTTTCACCCATTTATTTGGAAATTATTTTGCGTAAAACTATGTATAATTTTGATGTGTTATGGACTGGGGAATAAACTTTCTCCTTCAATTGCTTCAGCAGTGCAAAGCGATGCTGCCTCTGCGCCAGCTCCGACATCTCTGCTCTAGGGATAAAAGTCGGATTAATTAAGCGCTATCATTAATAATGCGCGCGTATGCGTCAAAGAAGGGAAACATGGCTTCCGATTAGACTCGCTTTGTGTTAATCTCTAGTGACCTGGACGTTCGTCAATGCGGACCACTAAGCAGATGAGTCTTCATCAACTTTCATCCTGTTTATCCGCAGCGCGCGTGTGTTTTCCTGTTTTCTTTAATTATGGAATTTCTCTGAGCCTAATTTAGAAATTTAAGATTTGAAAAAAAGTTATTAATGTTTATTTCCGATCGAAAACTGATCAAATAAAAACAAATTCTTCCTTTGTGATTAGTGATTTCACACATTCCGTGCGTGTCTTCATAGTAACAGAAGTCCAATAAAATCCTTTTGATATCAAAAATCCTTTTCTTATTGGGTGACGCTGTTTCCTGCTTGGCGATTAAACCAAACCAAACCAAACCAAACCAAACCTCTGCCTTTTGGTGCTTTGAAAAGCAAGAAATGTTTCATACCAGCTTCACTTGCTTGGTTTGGAATTGCTATATTTCTCATTTTAAGGCATCACAGTGTCTAAACTAACCTCTCTTTTCCTTCTGTGTGCGTGTGTGGAGAGAAAGAGAGAGTGAGAGACATAGGTGCAGCCAGTCTCCTTTTAAAAAATCCCAGAGTTGCAGTGTTGTGTGCAGGCGGCGTAACTGCTGATATAACCTGACTGAGCAGCACCGAGACGGGGTACAGACCCGTCCTTGGAAGCCTCATAAATCCGCTTTTAACTCCGCAGTTTGTTAATGAAATGTACGTTTTAAACACACATGCACGGCTTAGTGCGACAAAACCTTTTAGCATAATAGGGCAAGTTTCTCCGGCATAAAACCATTAGGAGAGGGACAGAGGGGAGAGACAGCGGCGGAGCAGCTGCTGCAGCACACGTGATGCAGAGGACACAGTCACCACGTGGGATCACCGCGAACTACCGGCAGGGTCACCGAACAAATAACTGTGATCATAATAATGTGATGCTCTAGTGATTTCCTAGTTTTTTTTTTCTTTTAATTCTCCTGCCACACCCCCTTTACTGGGGTCAGAGGTCATAGGTCAGCTGCAAAAGTTGGGACGGCGCTAAGGATCCTCCAGCAGGGTGGATGCTGTGGAGGCTCCAACTTTTGTTCATTCGCTTGATATGGGTGGAATAAGTGAAAATAGTAGTGGAATAATTGTAACGTTTCCACGTTAAAATGGGCTTGTTGTTTCTGTGCAACATTATTTGATTCCACTGGAGCGATTTTCATCTTATTTCAGTTTCAACATTTAAATAGGCTTATGGCGATAAAGCATGGATCCAGAATGGACCCATTTCCCCTTTTGTTTGGTGAGAAATAGGACTGACTATGCAACAACGTGAACAGGTCACCGACTTGTGAAGATTTCAAAGCATTTTTAGGTTTTATTGATTTACCACAGAATGAATGTCTTTTGGACTAAACCCCTTCCCGGATGTGAATAGTATTTGTCTTCTTTCAACACCACCGAGTCCTCGCTCTTTCCACCGTGAAGTATTTTGAGTTCTTAAAAACCTACAAGTTTATTTAAATCCTAATCTCATAAATCTCATGGGGCTACCTTAGAAGATTTCCAGTGTCGTTTCAAACATTGAAATAAAAACTTGATATCAATTATCAACTAATGATTGAAATCTCAATAGATTAAAATCACATTTCCTGTGTGCAGGCGTTTAAACTGATGATATAGCCTATGAGACTATCTGTTCATATGGTAAGTGCTCAAAATACAAATATATATCATGACAAATTAAGATGCAAAATCAACTTCTCCTTGATTAAATCCCATTTTTGCATCGAAATCAACTATTTGTAAAGCCAGATATTTGAAAGGAAGCTAAATTAATTCATTACTGTAGGTGAGAGGTCAGTTGGGGTCCATATGATAAACTAATCACATTCTTATCACGCCTGTAATTACAACCATTATGTTCATTGTTTTAGAGAGTTGCCGGATTTAATAAAAAACATGATATACTTTATATAGGAAAAATAAAAAATAATATATGCACAAAACTATGTGCCACACTATACAGTTATTTTACACAAAAGAGTAAATAAATGAAATATGTTTCCTATGATTGGTCGACGTCTGTGAAGCCTGCAGAGCCCGGAGATGCAGACACGTGAGTCCTCGGCTGTTTTATCCCTCTTCTTTTTTGGAAATCACCATTTCAGCCCTTCTCAAAGAGTCCACTTTATCAACCTGCGAGTTTCTGTCAAACAACATGATGGAGCTCATTTTTAACTCCTCTCCCGCAGGATTAGCCCGAGCCAGATCTGTGCGTCACAACAAAGCGCAGGGGCCCCAAAAACAGAAGAGTGATCCACTTGCTGTGTCTGTGTGTTTCCTGGACGTCCCAACTATTTATCTCTTTCACTAAGACACAATCCTGTAGATCAGGCTGCAAAGTCACGGCAGGGGATGCAGAAGATTCACTCTCTTTAGCTTCTCATTTATAGTCCGACATATTTGTAGTACAGAGGCAATAGGCCTGATGACCATCGGGCTATTTATTTTGTCCTCACAGGTGCTGGCGCTATCGAAGCCACTGTCTGTCTTTATTAAACCTTGGAACTTGTATTTTGACCATGGAGCTGGTTTAACCCATTTCCATGTTCTTGTGGGCCAAATATGAGATGAATAAGATGCAAGTCGGTCTAGAAACAAAACATCTGATGTGGTGATTTTGTGGTATAAATGAAAAAAATCTGTCAAATTAATTCTTAAAGCAAAAATAACAAGGAAAAAAATACAAGTCCCCCGTAATCGATATAGATTTATTAAAGTGTAAAATCTTGTCAAAATACATTTCCACCAGTTCAGTAACTTTACTGAATGTATCTTGTGCGCATACAGGTCTGTTAACCCTACGTGGGTGTTAAAGCCTCAGATCACATCGGGGGGGGGAGGGGCTCTACTCATCAATTTGTCTGTGCTCTTATCCATCCATCCATCCATCCATCCCTCCCTCCTCTCTGTCGGCTGCCCGTCACTGGGAAGCGCCCGGGGAGGCTGCATGAAAGTCACGGTTGCTGGTGGGAAAGTGACACCTCCAGCTAAATGCAGCCGGATTACCATGCCAATGTACTTGTTAAGTACGTGCAATGTCACCCATTTTGTAGGCGTTTTTGTCATTTAGATTAAGGCTGAAAATGTTGCACATTGGTATATCACCGCGTTGTGTGAGCGGAGCGATTCAGGCTGTAAACAGTGCAAATTGGCCCTGTACTGGGCATTTAACACCGTGTCAAAACGCCTCAGCCTGGCTTTGGAACAAACCACTGTCTGCATAAAACGACAGGCCAAACTGATAAAGCTAGTTCGAGGACAGCAAAAAAAAAATCATCACACTAAGGACCAAATATTGTGCGTCAGCGAAACGTGTGTGCTTGAATAGTCCGGTTCTTAGTCAATATCTGATCTTCAGAAATGTCACTGATTAGACTGTTTGGTAGCCTGTGTTAGGAAATATGACACACAATGAACTGATGCCCAG